TCCCCGTGTCTCTTGAGTTCCCCGTGCCTCCTTCCTTGTTTATGTAAATTTTGCTGCCCCGTCAGCTCGTTTATTTTGTACTTTTCATTTATCATTAAAAACCTATTTTTGTACATCTGCCGAGTTGAGTCCCTGTTCTGCACTCTGCGTTCGCTCCTGACACAAATCCTAACAGTTTTATGTTATGAGTGCTTAGTGTATATTTAGTTGATGTTTTTCTTAGTTCATATATTAGATGTTATTACTGTTTTTCTTATACATTTTATTGTTGGATGTAACTGGGACCCTGTGTACATAATTTCGCTCCACCACATGTACCACATGAGGTGCGAATGACAATAAAGAAACTCTGACTCTGACTCTGATTATTGAACTTTATAATTTTTTTCTTTGAGTCCCTTGAGTTAGTCTGTATTCTTGGGTTCAAGCTCTGCAAACTTTCACACCAAACGTCAAAGTTCTAGTTTGATAATGTTGGAGGTTTCTTACTATGTTCAAACTCAAAATCCAGTATGGCTGCCTCAGGCGTAAAAGGGGTGATAGCTGTACAAATTAACTTTTTTGTTCTTATAGCAGTTACTTCAGTGAAGTTTTGTTCAGTTTGCATTGTTAATAATAGTCCTCCTGAGCACAATGAGCAAATTTGTTTTGTTTCCTGTCTTGCAGCTGTAATAATTTTAGTTGGATGTTTTGTTAGATTAAGATCTGAGTTTCTGAATCTGAGGTAACTGAAACACAGGACAACATGCTGTGTTACACTTACTCTTCATTTGCCTCTCAGAAATACTTTATACTATAACTACATTATTTTCTTGCTAGAAATGGCTGTGGTGAAAAACATCCCTCACAGATCTTTAAAGCGCACTGAAAGTGCAAGTTGTGTCAAAAAATGTAGGCACTCACTGAATCCTATCCCCAGCCATGGTTTCACATATTTAAACAGCCTCTTTGAAAAGGCAGATTTTCACAGCACAATGAACTACTGTAGATGTTTTTAAAACATTTTGTTGTGTTGCCCCATTAAGGTCTTCTGGTCAGTTTATCAGCTAGTTAAAGTGTTGTTTTCCTTGTAAAATAACATGGCTTTTTTTTAACAAGAAGATTGTGATATATGTATCAAAATAGAGCACATTAGCAGGTTTCTTACCTGAGATTGAGCTCTCAGTGTTCGCAGAATCTCATCATTGCCTCTATCACAGGGGATCTTGTGCAGCTTCTTCAAACAGTCCACATCAGTGCTCTTTTCTCTGCACACATGCTGGTTGTAAGCAGTCACATTGATCCCAGTCATTGCACACTCATAATAATTCCCACTGAGTAGAGCCACAGCAATCCAGCTGGATGGTGCTACCAGAGCAGTGGCACTGACCTGGAAGAAGGCCATGCTGGTGGCAGCCAAATGTTTCCACTTGCACAGTTTTTCCTTGTGGTACAACAGACCTGTCAGCAGCTTCCACGTCTTTTTGCTCAAAACGTACCCTAACAGAAACAGAGCCAAAGCAGGCACCAGCAGGAAGACCATGCCATAGTAGAAATTCAGTTCATTACATGGACACCTGAAGACTATAGAGGAGAAAACCTGCTCTCCTCCAGCTGTCATCAGGGCTACTCCACCGAAGCCTAAGTTGGTCTGTTTGCTGGCAATGTTGAGGACTGTTTTAAACTTGTCCATTTCTAACTGCAAAGTGTCAGAGAGACTGTTAAAAAAATGAATGTCGCAGTTTCACTTCCACCCTCTACATCTGCTTCTTGTCACCACCCCGCCTTACTTCCCCGAAGGGCAGCATCTGAGCTTAGCAGTGCTTTATGCGGGTTGTGAACAATAAGCAAGGTGTTAGTTTACACTTTACGGAGACGAGTCTCCAGTCCACACGTGTCTCTGGTTACGTGATGTAATCAAATGTCACTTCTGCACTTTATGTGCAACAAGTAGTGTCTATGTTGGACAAACAAGACACCTGCTGGTCTGTTTGCCATGATTTGTGCTTTTTTAGATTTAGGTTTATTGCATTTTTATGATTTTTTTGTGTGTGTGATCATTTGTTTTGTCATTATCTTCCTAAGTCATTGGCCATCTCTCCCTCAGCCAGCTCTGTTCCCCAGTTCCTGCTTCACAGCTCACCCCTGCTCCTTGTTTTAATTATGCTCAGCTCTTGCTACTTACTTCATCAGTTCCCCCATGTTTTATTCTCCTGTTACCATACATTGCAGTAACAGGTTACATAATCGACTTTAATATAAATAGTTACAGTATATCGTGATCAATAGGAAGAAAAATGGCTATCCTGATTCACCTTCCTAACCAGTGGGGGGCAGTAGTGGAGCCGAACGTCGGTAATCCATCGTTAATAAAACACCAGAAGAAGAAGCGCAGACAGCAGCTAACAGCTAGGCGTTTAGTGTGTTTAGTGTTAGATATAAAATATAAATGGTTTCCACCTCGTGCTAATTACTCCTTCACAAGCAGTGCTGTTTAAATTGGTCTTGTTTTAACAGGAAGCAAAGGTTTTGGTATCTTTGTGCAAAAAGCAGCAGAAATGTCAGAAAACACAGGTGAGTGTTTCGGTGTATGCTAGCTGTAGCTGATTGATTGGACTCATGAATGACTGGATATTGATGCAAAAGTCACATTATAATAATATTATTTCTCTTCATTTATCGATATCTGTAGGGTCTTCTTGTTTTTGTCTGCAATGTTTGCAGCTGTTTTAACAATTGATATCCAAACGTTTGATTCAGGAGATGTTATCTATGGCTCTTTTTTTTAATTTTATTTCGTTTAATGTAGACTTTAACTTTATTTAAAAATATACCCATTTGAATAGGCTGATGTCTCTTCAAGTTCTTTAAAAACGTTATACTTATTTAAAACTACAACATGTATACTCTTTTTTTTTTATTGCAATATTTGTTCTTATGTGTCCTTTTATTGTGCGTTTTTATGTAACTTGATCTCTTACATGATTTTATGTCCTTTTAATATTTTTATGCATCTTTTTACTCTCCTTATGTGCCATTTTTGTGTCCTTTCCCATCCATCCATCAATTATCTTTTACCCGCTTCTTCCATTTTGGGTCACGGGGGTCGCCGGTGCCCATGTCAAGCAATCATTGTGCAAGGGGCAGGGGACACCCTGGACAGGGCACAAGTCCATCACAGGGCCACATAGAGACAAACGAGACAAACAACCATTCACACTCTCACTCACACCTAGGGACAATTTAGAGTTACCAATCAGCCTAACATGCATGTTTTTGGTCTGTGGGAGGAAAACCGGAGTACCCGGAGAAAACCCACGCATGCATGGAGAGAACATGCAAACTCCATACAGAAAGGCCCCCGGACCAGAATTTGAACCAGGGATCTGCGCTCTGAGAGGCAGCAGCTCTATCAGTTGCGCCACCGTGCTGCCCTGTCCTTTCCCAATGCTTCATTTTGTACTACTTTTATTTCTGGTTCTTTCTAGATTTCTTATGTTCCATTTCTCTTTTCTTTATCTTCTTCTTTGGCAACAGTGGCTGAGTGGTTAGAGCAGTTGTCTTCAAACGGTAAATGGACTGTACTTGTATAGTGCCTTTCTATCTTATTTCAAGACATTCAAAGCACTTTACACTACAATCTGTGTTCTCATTTACCCATTCATACAGCACTCTACTAGATCTCTACAAAGCTAATTGAACAAATCATTCTAAAGAGACTAATCAGTGCTTTAGATCACATTCATACACTGATGGGACACACATCAGAGGCTACAAGAGCTTCAGTGTCTTGCCCAGGGACACTTCGACATGTGACTGCTGGTGGATTTGAACCCCCAATTCTCGCATTGGAGGACGACTGCTCTAACCACTCAGCCACAGCCGCCCCTGGGAGAGTTGGGGGTACGATTCCACCAGCAGTCACATGTTGAAGTGTCCCTAGGCAAGACACTGGACCCCTCATTGCCTCTGATGTGTGTCCCATCGATGAATGAATGTGATAAAGCATTGATTATTCTTTGTACAGATCCAGTAGAGTGCTGTATGAATGGGTAAATGAGGCACAGATTATGTTATAAAGAGTTTTGAGTATCTTGATAAGGTAGAAAGGTGCTATATAAGTACAGTCCATTTACCATTCTTTAAATATCTCAACCATTAGTTCAGGTATTGTTCAATTTGATTTAACAAATTTCATCAAAGCCATTCTTCACTCAACATTCACTGTTCATTTTCACAGAAAATATCTTTTTTTCCAGTTGATGAAGTAATCATTAATGTTGTTAGATTCTGCTAGTCGAAGCAGATGGCCACGCATCCTGAGCCTGGTTCTGCTGCAGGTTTCTTCCTGTTAAAAGGGAGTCTTTCCTTTCCACTGCTGCCTTTGTGCTTGCTCAGGATGGAAGACTGATGAGGTGAAGATTCAACGAGTCTGCTGCTTCCGTAGATAGAGAACTTTACTAATGGGCTTTTTTATATAAGTGAATGTTTTTGTACAGTTCCCTGACATGACTTCTGTTGTGACTTGCTGCTATAGAAATAAACTGAATTGAACTGAATTGATTTGTCAACATTTTAAATGGATGGGTTTTGTTTGAACTAAACATATTCCTGGATGTATACTTAAAGCTCTAACAAAACAAGTGAAATACTAACAGAATATTTCTGATTCTAGTTTTTGTATCTGAATCTGTTCTCTTGGATCATTTATCCTTTGAAAATACAAAATAACTTAATGTAACATGACCGTCCATTATCTTTACCCACTTTGTCCTTTTTGGGTCATGTGGGTCACTGGTGTCCATGTTCAGCTATCACTGGGTGAGAGGCGGGGACACCCTGGATAGGTCTCCAGTCCATCACAAGGGACACATAGAGACAAACGAGACAAACAACCATTCACTCTCTCTCACACCTAGGAACAATTTAGAGTTACCAATCAGTCTAACATGCTTGTTTTTGATCTGTGGGAGGAAACTCACGCAGCATGGAGAGAACATGCAAACTCCACCCAGAAAGGTCCCCAGCTGGGATTTGAACTGTCAACCTTCTCCCTGAGAGGCGGCAACTCTACCAACTGCACCGCCATGCCGCCCGTACTGCAACTAAATAACACAAAAAACTTTATAAAATGTAGGAATTAACTCCTTAGTGATGCTTGTATGTGGCTGGTACTGGCTTTTTACTCTTCTTATAATAAATGATGAGAAAACATATTCTAGTTGTACAGATGGAACAGAAAGTTCAATTTGTCATTTGGGTTAAACGTTTTTGTGATTCAGTCCATTTGACAAGATGACGGTCTTTTCAGTTGAGTTAAATGACTAACTTACTGTTACTGCACTTTGTGAAAGTTTTATCTCTGTTTTTCATTCTGGTTAGAACAAAGTGAGTATGACAGCTCAGCTTCCAGTGGGATGCCGGACCAAGAGAAGGAGATGGCAGCGAGTGCATTTGAAGCTTTTGTGGTAAATAGTTTTGGCTTCTTTCAAATACTTTGCATTTTTTTGTGAAAAGTTTTACTTAGATCTGCAGGTTTTAGTATGTGATAAACAAAAATATATAAACCAAATAATTTGAAGGTATGCTAAGATAGTATGGATTAGAAATGCACAATATATATGGTACATGGTAGAAACAATAGACATTTAGCCTATGATGGAGACCTGTATTCTACCGGCTAACCGCAGTAATGCTGAATCTGATGTAAAATCAGAGTTGTCAGATTTAATTGTCACTTTTTTGGAGTTGAAAACTGCATAAGTGGTGTTAAAGTATTTTCTTTGAGAGCTAAGAGGCAAAGCTACAAGCTAACTACGACCGGTGTTGCACCATATTCTTTGAACACCGTATATTGTGACCGTAGAGGGCGCTGTTGCATTTTTACACCATACTTTGCAATATCTGATAAACACTATAATATTAACATTAACAAAATTAACATCTGCCCACTAAGATCATGACTATTATGGGAATGTAGACGGTCACAGAATATGATAGTTTATCTGGTATTGCATAGTATGATGTAAAAATGCAACAGCGCCCCCTACAATCAGAATATACGGTGGTCACAGAATATGGTGTAACACCGGCTTGCCTTAGTGTTGCCGTATTCAGACGCATGAGAAAAACATATTGTGATGTATATCGTTATCGCCACCTTTCACAATGCATATCATGATATAAATTTTATGCCATATTGCACATCCCTAGTATGGATACAACAATCATCATCTTTTCACCGGCAAACTGGTTGGTCCAAATGTGATTGTGCTGCTTGTGGGACACAGTTTGTTGTGGCTCATCAGACTGAAGAAGTCCTTTGGATGAAAGACAAAACGTCTCAACAAAAAAAGAAGCCGCCCAGAGGATCTGACTGAACATTGTTGGATTTTTTACTTGGATTTTTGAGCTTGAACTTTGATAGTATGGATCGATTTATAGGTACCTTTGAAGAGACTATTGATCTTTGGATTATAGACATGTTTCAAAGTAAGTTTTTGACCTTAATTTTGAATCATAATGAGATCCACAGAAAAAGAGCTTGGAAGGCTCCACTTGTGAAAGAAAGATACAAAAAAGCCAGACAAGAATTAGACTTCAAGGCTTCCTTAGATACACGACTTTACTTATTGTCTTTTCTATTGTGAGAATGTTTCTGTTCAGTGCCCTGAGATAACTTTGTTGTGAATT